TGCTGCTAATTTGTTAATTAAATTTTCGTTCACGCTCTCGTTCTTCTTTTTCCCTTATCTCTTTCTCGCTCTTCTCTTTCAAATCGCATTTTCTCTAACTCTAATTGAAACTGATAGTCTGTCATTTTGTAAGAGCCTAGCTCTGATCTAACTGTATATTCTGGAAGATCGTATTTTTCAAAAATGTTTTCATCTACTAGTTTGTTTGCAACCTTAATTCTAATGTCTTGCTTTTTCTGAGAGGATTTAACATCTAACCCAAAATGCAAACCTAATGCGATCAAGTCATCCTTTTTTAACGTATCAAAAACCTGAACACTTGGCGAACTAAGAAAGTTTGTGACCGAAAATACCATGTTGATTTTTGCTGGCTTATAGTCAAATTTAACAATTTAATTAACAAAATTCTGACAATGAACTGCAAAAGTGCAAGAAATTCTTGATCCCCGACGAGCCCCCAATTCTGTTATGGGTCAGAATAACCCTAAATGCCAGCAAAGATCAATCACACAGTTTAAACTTAACAATAATTTATTTACAGTAATATACAAATCATTAAGTACAAACTTAGCAAAAATCTAAAAAAATACATACATCAGAGTGTCCGTTGCTGCACACAATGTCCCAGTGAAATTATATCCCAGTAATACCTCAATGATGCTTATACGACAATGTTACTTATTAGACATTGTTTTTTATGCACCGAATTGAAAGGATATTTATACAGTATCATAAATCTAGAAAATTTTAGAAGTTGTAAATACTTGATATTACTGGAACGTTCTGGACACACACAAAATGTTCTAGAAAAAATGAATAATGACCACTCTGGAATGTTCAAAAACTTAATGTTATTAATAATATACATGATGAAACAATACAAATACAACACACCTCACAACAATTGATCGCTTTTCATAAATTGAAAAAAATCTGACAGATATGCTCCTGCATGTTTTATAATGTGAAACAGCAACTTTGTTGGAGCAATTAAAAACATAAAACAAAACAAACTTTGAACCTATTTCCTTCCTATGTACATCTTTTACACAGTGTATTTTATAAGGTATTCTTGAACGTTCTACCCCCGCCCACTAATCATTTTTCGATAGTATGCTTTATCAGTTTTGCGCTTGAAAATAAAATCAAAAGAATGGAACAAATGCAAGTCCCTCGGAAGACAGATGCACTAAAATGTATTTTTAAGGGGGGGGGGGTCATAAGAGATATATAATAAAATTGATATAGTTTACATGTTCTATGGCGGACATATATAATGAGGTGAGAACAATAACATTATTTGAAATATTTAAGTCACGTTGTCATAAAAACACGTGTTTAAGTCCGAAGCACTAATAATCATTGATAAGCAAAATATAGCTGAACATTTAGTTCAATGATAATTATGCGTATATTTTTTTCTTTTTCGTAACAAAAAAGTTAAGAGAGAGAGAGAGCGAGAGAGAGAGAAGTAAAAAGTTGAGGTTGGAAGAGTTTCATTATGTTTATCGTTAAAATAAAACATCAAAAAACTTCACCATTTATTTAGAAGGTAGAGGGTAGAATGAATGAATTAAAAAAAATTTTGACATGAAAAAATATATAATTAACGTAAAGATTTTTAATTTTGAGGTCCGTCGAATGGGACCTTAAATGGTGCCCCGTGTCAAGGATTACAACCCCTTGGCACGCAAAAGATCGTTTCGCTGATTTTTGAAAAAGACGAGGTTTATTGGGAGCCGTTAGAGAAACCCAAAACAGGCCACATCATGTTAATTTTTATCGAATTATGGCTGAAATATTGCCGATTTGGCGTACAACATTAATCAATCAATCCATTGATAATATGTTTCACTGAACTCACCTCGTCTGAAATTAAAGAAACTAAACGGAGAGCCATCTGACCACGCCCACCCACCCTTGTCACTCTCATCATATCCACCAATCCAAAAGCTCCCAGAATTCCTCATCCCTGTCAGTCTTCCTGTTAACATATTAGATGATATATAGAACATAAACATTGGAAAATTAATGACACACTTGCTAGAACTTTACTTCTATTTTAAAAATTCAAGAAACGGGTCCATTGCTTACTTAATGAATGAACCATTTTCCCATGTTTTAGCTTTTACGTAATGCATATATATATTTCAACTAAGAATTAAAAATAAAACAAAAATGTGAAAGGCCCTTTAATAGTTTTTCATGCATTAATTTTATTTCCAACTTCCCCCTGAAATTACTTTATGGAACCACGAGAAATTTATTAGCCATAGAATGATAAGCTTAGTGAGAAAAGAACCTTTCCATAATATTTTCAATAACCCAGTACTGTAAAAAGGTACATAGCAATGTATTGGTGTATACCTAATATGTAGTAATATTCCCTCAGGTTGTTTATGCTGAGTAACTCCCCTCCGATTGACCGACAGAAACTTCTGGCAGATGACCAGGTGGCTGGGTGAAGGTAGAACAGGTAACACACCTGAGATCTCTGTTCTAGCTCCCAATTAGGGCCACAAACAGGATCATACACTGCTACAATTATAGTGAATACACTAGAAGGATAGATATTTTAAAAATGCAGTCTTATGAATGTAGAAAATTGTTAGTTCTAGAATTTATATATACAAGTTTCATATTCCCCCTTGTCTTGAAATATCTAGCTAAGTATGTAAAAATAAATGTGAAAATTAATCTGCCGATTATTTGTTTTAAACTAAGAACCTGTAGTAGTGAGAGTCTGTTTGTTCATTGTTGTTGCTGGCCTAACAGGATCATACACTGCTACAATTATAGTGAATACACTAGAAGGATACATATTTTAAAAATGCTCTCTGAATGTTGTATATACAATTGTTGTGGTCTTTATTGGTGTTGTAAATGTGAAAATTAACCTGCTTATTTGTTTTAAAATACAGTTGCAAAATTTGTATACACTCAAATCACATTTGAAATGGAAAAGATGAAAATTTCAAACAATGAAAAAAAACTTTGTGGACATTTTCACATAGCAAATTCCAGTGGTGAGATCAGGTGCAAATTGAAAGGAAAAGAAAACATCCCTATCGACAGGCCCCACTCACCGTATGCTCTGAATGAATACTCCCAAGGCAAATGAAGTATTAACGAAGGATATTGAAATAACGAACAGTATTCAATATCCAAGTACATAAAACAACACAAAATAGGAGCAGAGCAAACACAGACCTCCAAAGCATCAGAGGTGGGATCAGGTGCCATGAAGGAGTGAGCATCCCCTGACAAGTCACACCCGTTTATGCTCCTTGTCATAATCGGGAAATAACGGGAAAATCCGTCGTCAATTCAGTGTATAAATAATGGACTAACAATGAGTATGAAAAACGTCAGCCATTATTTGACTCAATGATGAATTGTATTTGCTGACAAGGTCATTGTATCGACCAAAGAACTTACAAAATGATGACTTTAAACGAGACTGCTGATATTCTTGTTCCATCAACTTGTTTGTCAATAATTTACCTCGTTTTAGATATTGTTCATACGTCGAGCATCCTCTTGCGTATCGAATCAACTGGGATATATAGACGCCGTACGCAGGTGATGAAGGTATATTGCTGCATAACTAAAGGAAGTTGACGAAAGGAAAGTTAAAGTCATCACGTTTGTCATAGAGCTCGGATGTTAGATTACCATTAACGTCTTTTTCAAGTAAAATATCCAAGTATGAAACAGATTTGTCTGATTCGGTGGTAACTTTTATCTCAAGCTCACCAGGATATATCGATGTATCGACATAGGAATGGAAATTACCATTCATAGAGCTAACAATGAAAAGGTGAAAACAGTAAACTGTGATTTGAAACATGTCAGCCAAATTATGACCAGATGATTGCGTTATATTGCTGAGATAGTCCTTATAATGACCATAGAAAATAAAGAAATGCTGACTTTATACAGAGTTGTTGAAATTTCTGTAACATCAGCTCTTTTCAGTTGCCTGCCTTGGTTTAAAATTTAATCTACTCAGAGTATGATCTTGAGTGTGGAAAAAATGGGGGAAATAAACACCATGAATTGATAATTGAATATCGCTACATAATTTAGGAAAGTTAAAATATAAAAGTTAAAATCATCTATCTCGATTATCGAATAGTTAAGTTGTTCGTTGACTCTTGAAGTCAGTAAAACAATTCAATTATGAAAGAGTTGTTGCAAACACTGTTATATCTTGGCGTATTTCGAGTACTCTAGAAAATCGATAAATAAATGGAATTGACTAGTTCTGATCGATAAAACAGTTTATTGGAAGACTTGATCTTTGAGGACTAAGTAATTTTTAATGAGAATCTCCAGAAGCATATATATAATCTGTACACTTGTTCGTGTAAGTATTGTATTTTTTTACAAAAGAAATTTTGTGACGACCAATGAAAAATATATTAAAAAATTTCCCCATTCCTTTTCAATTAAATATTAAGCAGTTGTGAGTGATATGAAGAAACTAAAATTTTCAAATGGTTAAGTAAAATTTTGATAAGCTTGCAACATAATCTGATTCGTGAAATACAATGATGACTGTAGTGGTTTTTAGCCGGGCTTATTGCTCAAAGAGCAATTGCAGGCTTATGTGATCCTGTTCAAGACAGGATGTCAACCCCATAGTCGCCATTTTAAAGTTACGTGTAAAAATATAGTTCTTACTCTCAACCGCTTTTGAGATAATATAAACGCTAAATAAAGCAACAAAAATAAAACGAAGTTTTATTTAAATAAATAAACATATTTAGTACCTTTGAAAACTTCAGTCTTAAGTCAAAGAACATAGTTCATTAGTGTAAGGATTTTTGATAAGCAGTGTTACATGTATATTAGTTCTCTACACATACGAATAAAAGCAGGAGAGGGAACCAGACTAGCCTGTTTTTTTATTTTCAGTTGCGGTACCAGATCAATTCTGATTCTGACAAAATCGGACCGTGGTATTAGGATCGAAACTCACTGTCAGTGTCTTATTGTTATTGATAGATTTAAAATGAGTTTTTCATCAGAATTTTAAATCTGATATTCTTTTTTTTATCTGTTAATACAATATATACCGCGGGAATCTTTGACCCTTTTTTCTTACAACGTAAACAAGCAAGAGAGAGAGACAGAGATCTGTTGAAGATATATCAATATATCGGAATTTTGTTAAACAAAATATGGACAGATTTTGATATGAGGTGTGCTAAATATCTTAATGAAAGTCCCACTATGCTCATGTACATCTACCGCTCCCGTGACAGTCCCACTATGCTCATGTACATCTCCTGCTCCTACAGTTGTACAATTGTAATAAGAACTGTAAAACATTATTTACAGATGCTTGAAATGTATTAATTGATTTTTGCTCACAAAATAGCATCCATTTATGGAAATACGTCCAATATTGTTGTTGTGTGGGATTCTCTTCCAGGATGATAGCTAAATGTCTGCAATGTCATCCGATATATTTTGCTGTCTGAGGCTCTCCCTGATATTTTGCACACACACACAAATAATAAACAGAAGAAACAAGCAAATTCAAAGAATTGTGGTCCCCCGCTTTCGGTGTCTTTGTGGGTGGGATGTTATTTTTTATGACAAATTGTGTGTAATATGAACATCCTATTATATGTCATTTATTTAGAAAGTATAACATTGAATTTATTTTTTAAGCATGAAAACCCTAATCCTGACAGTTAAAAATTTATGGAAAAGTAAAAAGCGTTTTAAAGTAGGTCAATTTTAAGATCAAAGGGTCAAAGCTGTTGATTTCTAATGAAAGGTTTTCTTTCACATCCCTCATTCACACAATCATGTACCAAGCAAATAATACCCTCAATTCTGGAAGACAGAATAAGGACTTTCAGCTCTTTTACTTGTACCCTCTCAAAACTCATATCACCAAACAATCTGCACTTTCTAGTGGTTGTTGTTGAGCGATTTGTCCTTGTACTCCTAAAGTACTAGTAGTTGAAACAATCCATCGGACGTTGTCCTGTTGTACACTTAAACAAAATAATTATACATTTCAATCTTACTTGAATCTAGAATATAATATACATGTAAAAATATGTTTTAGGAATGAACCTAATAGAAATTCAAATCATACTGGATATAGAATATAAGTTAAATCGTTGTTGTTCCATTAATCCCAGAAACTTCATTTAAGCATTGAAATCATATTTTGGGATGCTCTTTGAAAATGCCATTCAAGATCCCATTTGCTGTGCAAAATTCTGTGTCCTTTACATTGACGTCTCAGCGACGATTAGGTAAATGGCGATTAATGGTTGCTCTTATGTTGATGAGACTATTTTTGTGGTACAAGGATTTGTCTTCATCATCTTTGCCTTTTGGCCCGGCCTCGCAATAGAACTTTGACAGACGATTTGAAAGTGTTGGGATGTCTACTGTCAGCATGTCCAGAGAGGTACCGTATACTTATATGTTCCAGTCTATAAATTTTAAAATGAACCTATTTAGTTGTGTATGAGATGACATTGTGTAAATTTTGGAGTCATTTATTTGTTTGAGCAATTAATACAACAAATTTTGACTCGTGAAAGATTTATACGAATGTCAATTTGCAGCCAAGATACCTTGAAAAATTCTTATCCCCCATGCTGTGTTTCTTCTTGTTGTTTATGCTTGTCTAGATTCAAACAGTCTATCCATTTCTTCAGTTGTTACAGTTCTAAATCTCTGTGAAAATACAGGTTGTTTTATTCAGAATCATATTCAACTTGGCCCATGTTGCAGTAATTGTTGAGGCCTTACATAAAGTTATAATTGTTTCACTTTATTTTAAAACTTCATAAATAATTAAGTAAAAAACATTTTGTCTTATAAATACTAATTAAGAAACTTAATTCTTTCTAATTTCCATACGCCGTGATTAGGTTTTGAGTGTGTTATAGGAATTTGAAATAGTTTTGAATTTCCAATGCATTTCTTTGGCGAGAAATACACTGAATGTAAATATAAAATATTAAGCTTATCTTTATAAGTATATTAAAATTCATGCTTCTGAGTTTATCGTGACCTTGCATTTATTGCGTTATTCCGTAATTTTTTTTAATGAACCAGATTATGATATTGAAGTACGTTTAAAATTTGAGAGTTATAGATAATTTGGTTAATTCCGTTAAAATTTATCCTAGTCTCGTTTAAAGTCATCATTTCGTAAATTCTATGGTCGATACAATGACCTTGTCAGCAAATACAATTTGTCATTGAATGAAATGCTGACTGACGTTTTTCATACCAATTGTTAGTCCATTATTTATACACTGAATTGACCACGGATTTTTCCGTTATTTCCTGATTATGACAACGAGCACACGGCGGATGTGACCGGTCGGCAGGGGATGCTCACTCCTCCATGGCACCTGATCCCACCTATGATGTTTCGGAAGTCCGTGTTTGCTCTGCTCTTTATGTTGTATATTTGTTTAATGGACGTTGATTTAAATATGTTCGTTATTTCCATATCCTTTCTAAAATTTTCATATAAAATCAGGTCGAACTCAAAGGTCAAGGTAAAAGTTCAAAGTTGGTGGTACCTAAGGAAAGGTCTTGTCACAAGTATTACACATGTGAAATATGAAAGTCAAAGCTCCACTCAATTAAAAATTATAGGCAAGGTTAAAGTTTTTACAGACAAACAGATAGACAGACGGACACGACAAAAACTATATACCCCCGAAACTATGTTTACGGGGGCTTAAAAATTGAATTAAGTGTAGAAACGACTAAATATTCAAAGTTAACCTGAACTAATAATGTTAGCATTCTATTATTCGATTTTAAAGT